AATTTCAGGGTATATGCAGTTTCACTTACTCTACAATTTGGCCAAGAGACATCGCTATGTGGGGAGGGGATAAGCTCCCTCTTACATTATACTTCTTTTTCTACATATAAGGTCTTTTATATGCTTTACTAAAATTTGAGATAATATCATGATTTAACAATTCAATCCACCATTATCATAGTTTAGTTCATGTCAAATTGATAAAAATTTTAATTATTTTTATTATTAATTAAATATTGTGTCAAACTTAGTAAATAATTCAACATATTGTGTCAATTTAATACAGTTTAATATTTTATTGCAATACAAATTATCAACAATAGAATAATAGATCAACATGTTCAGTATCAAAAATTTAATAAAAAAAAGCTATGTTGATGTATTTATAACAAAAACTTTCGATAAGAAATATAAACTTTCAAAAATAAAAAAAACAATACAAAATTTTTTTCTATCAAAAATAAAGAATTCATTTCTGTTGTTCGACTTTTGTGCTCTTAAATTATTTTACTCGTAATGTCAATCGTCAAGATAAAGAAGGATGCGCAGAGTTCTAAGTTGTATTTGCTACTCTACAAAGCAAATGTAAGTCATCAGTCATTCATTTAGATTGTCTCTCAATTAAATTTTATTTTCATCGAGTGATTAAGTGATAGCCGTCATGGCTGAGTGGTTAAGTTGGTCGACACGTACTACCATAGTATTGTGCTTGAGCCTAGACATTCTCAGACATGAAATGACCTTGGACAAGTCACTAACGGCTGTTTTGTCTCAGATTATCCACACGATAGCGTACTGACTATGTTATGACATACATCGGTCCTTGTGACCATTATGTGATTAGTCATTGTGTACGTGGAGCTCAAGTGATTGAGTGAAAGAAATCTGAGTTAGGCTGGCCTTCTGTCCAGAGCTATAGCTAGAAATAGTTTTAAGAAGAATATTGGGCTTTCAAAACTGCTTCCAGACAACACTTCGTATCATAAAATAGCCGAAGCGCAGGGTACTCTTCTTCTTCATCATAAAGAGATAATTATGTGACTACATATATATCTTATGGTTTTGATTTATTGAAATAGTATGTTAAAAAGATTTCACTTGCAAATAGAGTTGTCCTTTGGTCTATAAACCATAGATCGCTGAGTAGTGAACTGTTTTTGACAAACATCAAACTTTGTATTATAAGATAATATAACATATGAATATATAGAACAATGTTTTACCAATACTAATACTACTGAAAAATGTGTTACTGACATGTGCTTCGTACAGTTGGCTCGAAATGTATATGAGCAAAATATTACATCAAACCAGTTGTGTACAAATTCTACAATACATCCACCTGGATTACACATCATAACATCTCTGGATTTGGGTATAAAAGCTCGTAATGACCGGTATAAATTCTATTGCAAGTACGATCTATGCAATAGTATAGACAATTCACAGAAATTAATAAAAATAATTGATGAACACTATGATATATCACCGATGCTCGTAAAATTAAATTTCGAAACAGCATCAACAGTACATATGACAACAACTGGATCAATCATTTCATCAATAAGCTCACCGGCTTCAAGTACAACAGCTAAAGTGACTAGTTTAGCTAGTGTCAGTTCATTAGCTTCGAGTACAACAACTACAGCAAGGAGTTCAACCACTACAGCAAGGAGTTCAACCACTAC